TATATATATATATATATATATATATATATATATAACAGCAAGGTTTCAATATCTTTGCATGTAATACGATGATGAGAATTTTTAATTTTAGCTAATTTTTGATTTTGTTTGATTTTAATTTTACCTGATTTTGAAGTACCTAGCCAAAAAAAAAGCACAATTTCAATTCTTCTATGTATGGGTCAAAGACATAAACTGATTTCGTAGAAATATGAAAAGGAAAACCTTAGGATAGCAGCGAATGAGAGAAGTACGAAATAATCAGCGACACTTCAATTCATTCTTGCAGAGCAACCTATTCTGCAGTGCTAGGCCACAAGTGATTTTGGATTAGGCTCGACTTAAACACGGAAGAAAAGTGGTGGAAAAGTACAATCCAGAACAGTCCAAAATTTAGTAATTCCATACTTTAAATCGGATCATCATTCTATTTGATAAATCAATGATTGACCTACAGTGTACTAATCTAAAAGCTCTTCCTAACATACCTTCATGCTTACCTTATCCCCTCATTCCTTTCTGTCATCTTGCACTAGCTTATCAATTATAAGAAGAAAAAAACACTTTCCATCATTTTTAATATCAATCTCTCAATAATAAGGCAGTTTTCATCATTTTTCTATCGCTCCGTCCTCTTTCTGTCTCTTATTAAGCCAAAACTAACACTCTTCACTTTATATTTTTCATCTAATCAGGATTAAAAGCTGCGAAATTCTTACAACTGCAAAATATCGTGGGTTGTGATCTTATCAGACTGATAATAATCACTTAATGTTTTTTCTCAACTACTGAAATTTTTTGAAAGAACACAACTTTACATTTTTATTTGAAAAGGAGAAAAATGATTATAAAAAGATATTGACTGATGCATAGAAGATAAGGCATTAGAATCCAGCATTTCGTTCCTCTCGCTTTTATAAAAAAAAAAAAAGGAAAAGGTATAATAGTACATTATTTCAAGACGATATCGGTTCCGAAATTAGAATAATCTGGGAATCAGGATCTAAGCTTAAATCTCATTTTTTGTTGAAGAGATATGAACGGAGTTGGGTTCGGATTTGGTTTATAACATTTGCTTTTCACCGAGATCTTCCAGAATCTTAACCTTTTTTTTTTGAAAATCGTATTGGAACGCGGTAGATGTGCTAGTATCCGGTAATGTGTGTATTTCTGGGTGTTGTCGTTGATGATTATCAAATAATTGGTGTCACAGCCTGTCGATGTATTTGTCCGTCACACGTATATGTTTGTGTGTTTATATATGTGTATGTCAAACTAGTCTTGTCTGTGAGTGTTGTGGCGGTATTTCATCGGTGCCTGTGTGTGTCAGTGGTTGAGCATTGTTTTGAGGGTGCGATAACACCATGTAATAGGAAATAGGTGGACTCATATCAGAGCCATTAATCTCACCTCAAAGTTGAAAGGATCTCGATATCGGGCAACTGACATATAGGTCAATCAGTAACACTTATCGAGCGAAGAGCAAAATGAGAAGACAGTTGTGGCTAGGAAAGACGAAGTTCATGATCCATTAATGAGAGACTCCGAGATGTGGCTAGGGAGAGAACTGGAAAACTGTAGGTTTCAAGAGAAAAGGAGAGAGTTTGATCTCGTCAAAGAGGACGAGCAACTGGCAACCGATAGGTAGAAAGGTAGAACGAGGTGATGCATGACTTCTACATATGGTGGTGACACACAAACACACACACACACATTCATCTACTGATAACAATCGAATACACATTTGTTAAGGAATCTTCGCCGAAGAGACTACCATATTTGCGAAAAAGATCTTCTAACCGCACTTTTTCCCCTCAACACAAGAAATTTCTATGGGAGCTTTTTTGTTTTTCAATATTCCATCTTTTAATAGAGAACGGAAAAGAATACTTCCGGCGCAATTGGCGAAATATTCTTTCCTGCTGTTTATTTACGAAATAAAGAGCCAAGTACTTTCTTGCTCAGTAGTAGCTAATATCGAAATTTATATGCTATGTGGTAAAGAAGCCACGATTTGGTACCGAAAGAACCGGATTCCATCCTCAATCTCAAAATCAGATTAGTTATTGATGGACCTGCGCTACTAGGACTATGGAAGAGAAATGGAAAAATAGAATTACAGTCGAAATTTATTTCTCGAATAAGCATTTTTATTTCATCTCACTTCATGATTTCAATGCGAATCGTTAAAAAAAGGAAACTTCAATCATCTTATACATTTTAAATATATGTAAAGCATATCTGTGAGATGATGATGGTATGATAAGGATCTGTGAGGGTTACCATTGTCGATTTACATCTTCAGTGTTGTGGAAATCACTTTTGCTAGTCCCACGATCATCTTTGTTTTCTCTTCACTGTTCGACTTTTTGACGAAGAATTCATGATTTAAAGTTTACGCTCCAAGTATGTTTTTATGCACTTATTGATTTCTATGATAGGTATGTAGAATAAAATGCCTGATTTTCGTCAGTGTTTCTTACAACCGCAAGTTACATCTTTCCATCGATAAATCAAATGGGAGATGAGGTATTTTGCTACGTGCGTTCCCGAGTGCAAGAAGTATGCAAGCATTGACAGAGCGAACTATAAAATGCCAATAAAGAGGAGAATCCGTTTTAATCCAGGTCCATCAGTTTGACAACTTTTTGATGTTAAATTCCTTTTTTGCTAATAATTTTGAAACATACAATAAACTACATCATACACAGTACAAATACAAGCATGAGAGTTTATTATCACGTCATATACTCCTGTAATTGCTGAAATCGAACCATAGAGACTCTGAATGTTGAGTTAATATTTTTCAGAATCATTTCTATTGAAGAACAGTGCCCGGAATTTTATTAGTATTAGATACATCGTTTGCGTGGTTCATCGGAAGCTTCGAGACCTCACCAGAGCATTATTCTTGAACACTGTTTGTGGTAAATCCGACCCACCAAATAACCGAAAACTGGTACCGTCCTGATTCTCTGTGTTCTCATTTTATTTACCCTCAGCTTGTTATTTTTTGGCATTTCAATCCAATTATTTGACATTTTTCTCAAGGCAGTGACATCTGCTATTAAAATTTATTATTGTAAGAAATTCTACTTACAGTAATCACCTCTCGTTCACTAAGTTTTTGGAAATACGAACATATGGATACCGTACTCCGGGTCGACATGAAAACATCCAGCTGATGATGACAACAGTGATAACCGTGACGACGATGACAGCACAATATTGATGATAAACCGGATAATCTAAACAGATGAATGCGCCATGTGCTGTACAAAGAGTCCATATGGTTTTTGTAATTTATAATCCTTTGATGGAAGCGTGTGAACACGATCAGGGGTTGCCTGTGAGGATAAAATTCCTACAATGAAGACTGCAAAAGAAAGCATTGTATGCACGCAATTATGGAAGGCGAAAGGTGAAGCAGGTCGCACCCTTTGTGTCGTAACCGTTTCCCGTGTTGAAACCGTTTGTGTCGTAACCGTTTCCTTGTGTCGTAACCGTTTCCCGTGTTAGATGTCACGTGTTATCGGATCTCAATTTCGAATCGTAACCATAATTTCAAATAATTCCAGGGAGCTGTACAAGTTCTGGGACTCGGAAAAATAAATTTATGCGAGATCTGAGGCTTCAGATCTGAGGCGACAGACCTATGATCTGTCGGCAATCACGCTTTTCCTGAAGAGGTTAAACAAATCTTAAAACCACAAACTCCTGACATTTTGCCTTATATATGACCCAGGTACTAGATTTTTGAACCTGATTAAGAGAATTAATTAGTTCCAGTTACGTTCGTGAAGAACAGAACGGAACTCTCATTGCTTCCATTCATAATTGTTAAGGAAACTGATTCTAGACAGCTGGTTCCGGGTACTGGCTACTTCCAGAGAATATTAGGTTTAAATTAACGTTCTATGACCTATAAGTGTAAAAAGGCTTACCAGCACCTTAAATTATAGCATTCTTCATCAACTAAAATCGATATCAGCAATAGCAAATTTCTAGAATGCTCTCTTGACAATAAACACCTAACAAATGACGCGTACCAAATTGTTAATTAACAGACGGCAAGACTGCAATATCAACTTCAACACATAAAAATGTTAAGTTAGAACTCTTGGCAGAATTTGTTAAGTAGAACTTGCAATTTAGATCGAAACACTAGCAGCTGGTAACAGAAAGAACAAGAAAAAACACTTAGATGTGTTCTAATTATCTAACTCACTGATAAATCCACAAAAATCTATAATCAAAGGACTGTGGAGTATCACAATTAAACCATCCATAACTGTTATAGAATCTCAACTCAGAAGCACTACTCTTAATTTACAAAGTGCACAATATATTTTTCCTACTTTATAGTAAATTCGTCACATCTCGGACCGCCTACCACAATTTCATACAAGTAATCCAAGTAATAGAAGAACGTCCATGTTTTTAAATGAATGTTAGAAAATGCGCAAAGTGTTGTAGTCATACATAAATAATACGCATCATATTTCATATAAAGAAGCCTTCTTCCCTCGGTAACCACTTTTTCGCATTGTAGGCGAATCCTGGAGATTGATAAACTTTTGCTTTAGTCTTTCTACGCGATGAATTTGACGTAGTTGTCGCTAAAATTAACTCTTCAAAATTTTCCTATATACACGAGAATATATTTGCAGAAGGTGAAATATTCTTCAGAGAGATAAAATACTGACCAATCGGTACGCTCGCCAATAAAGCCAGCCGTCAACTTCTGGATCCAAATCTTCCAATTCTTTTTTTCTTTCCAACCTCAGTTCAAAAAGCCATGCTGGATACTCAGAATCGGGCAAAATTTTCGGATCTTCTCCACCTATAGTTAAGAACTGCTAAATTTAATCCATCGATAGGTTTTTTTCTTCAACTCAATTTTTAATTCTGAGGAATCTGGTGAATGTTAAATGATTCGGTAATTGACACATTAGATTCGCATATGTACAAGGAATTCGCATGTAGAAAACTTCACCGTTTAAACATACCCTCGAGAAGGTAATTTACACAGACATGAGTACATAACTTCTCGGTATTCAAATCAATGAAGCCTTTATTCTCTTTTTCAGCAATAATTTTCGAGCTCACTGAAGCATGATTCTTTAATGTCATTACCAGTCCTGAAATGGAAAATTTGACAATTGACGAAATAATCAAACGATGCATAACATGTTAATTTAAAATTTGTCCAGTCATTAAATAAGGCAATGAGTCAATAAGCATAAGGGACCAGCAGTATAATAATTAAGTCCGGGGACAGTAGTGTAGCAGGAAAAAATGGAGGTCAGTGAGTCTTTGGTCGGTGCCGGTCGGATGTAAAATGAATAAACGAACAAAACAGGATGAGAGGAGTCTACAAGTGTGTCCCTAGAAAGTTAAATGAATGCAATGGTTCATGAAAAAACAAAATTTCATTGCCAACTTCACGGAACATTATTCATTGACACAGCTGATTATGTATTTAAGATTCCTTTACTAATTCAATAAAACCAAAAGGTAATAGTTTTTTGAGAGCTGTTTTCCCGAATTTTAAAGTTTTAAAATCACACGAGAATAGACACCATAACTCTACTTATCACGCAAGGAATCCTCTTGTCAGCTTATCAAGCAAGACACGAATAATTGCAATAGTTGTTTTGCAAAACTACATGTGTTTCGATCACAATTCACTCGATAGTGCCACAGTTTCCGCTAATTTTATGTAAGAAGCATCAATTGCTGACTATAAAGAGGAAAACAAAATCACTTACCATGAGAAAAAGATACTATTCCAGGTGGCCTCACGCATCGAAATAACGTAACTATAGTTTTAGCAAGCATTTTCGTCGTACATTCTGTTGCTTAAGCCATTGATGTGACTATCCTAAAATGTTCCTAGTTTTTAGGAAAAGGTACTAGTTCAGAACTTTCTCCGACAAAACTACATCTGGAAACTCACCTTAACACCCAAATCACGTACTCCCAACGAAATTAAGACCAAAGAACCCCCACAGACCATGTGATCTGAGAAGTCCCTAAGTTTTCGCATCGAGTATTTCAACATGCGGCCCGGTTCGATGTCTTGTGAAACCAGTTGTCCAAGGAAGTGATTCTCAACCTTTCCTTAGGGACCACTTGTTCTTTTATTTGTAGCAGAGACTACGAGGTCCGGAAACGATAAGTTCTGTTGGTTTGGGAATGAACTTTAATCATGCACGTTAAGTGCTATAGTGATAATTATTTCATTCCACATTACTATCGTAAATTTCTTTGTTCAGTGGGAATGATTGCTGATAACATATACTACCAATAAGTTTCGATTTTAAAACTGGCTGAAGACTTTTTGGGCAAAAGAAAACTTCTAATGCATTGGTTGAACTTAAAGTACAGTAACATAAAAACAATGTAAAGTAAAAAGGATGGAACATAATTTCTAATAACCTTTGCGGACTGTATTTTATCCGTGCGTCGTCGGAATAACCCTCGCGGATCATGTAGTCTTCGGACCGCAAGTCAAAAGCGTCTAAATCAAGTGGTATTTAATCCAGTTCTTGGAATTTCTTCCATTTGTAATACGTAATTCGATGTTTTGCGGTGGTTTTCAGTGAATTGCGACAGTTTTCTCAGTCTTAGAAATATGAATAGGATAAGGAGAGTGGGAAGTTGGTTGTCTGAGACGATTTACAGTAAAAAAGAAAATACGTCACAGAGTAGTACTCACTTGAGGAGGTCAGACAGATGTTGCAGTATTGAGATTTTTTTGAACTGTGGTGTTCTATAAGTTTGATTTATGCTGCCGCATCTTATTTATGTTCAGATACCTTAGGTAGTTCAGTTATTGTGATACCCCCAGTACTACCTTGGGTAATTTGTTCTCTCATACTGCATCCTTGGCAATGTAGACTTGTTTGCTAGAATTGGCAAAACACCTTCATTAGTGGCATTATTTACAACTCGATCTTGTATTCGTCTTTTAGATCATTACGATCTAACAAATTTCCCAGGAAAATGCCTACTTAACGATCATGTTTACGATCACAAAGTTATCTATCCATCTGGAATTTGTTTGTGTTGAGTTTGTTTTTGTATTGTGGTGTGAAGTGTCATCTGTTGCTGTACAATTACAAAATGTAAATAATCCAATTAGAGTTTAACTGGCTAATTTGCTTTTTGTTAGCTACTTTTCCATTTATTTCACATTCTTAAAATGATTTGGATTAATTCTTGGTCGTAGCAGTAAATATAGTGGATCAGTTCGAGTGCCTTTGAATATCAGTTTCTTCGGATTCAAAGGATTTCGTAACAGGTTCTCCTGAGCATTTCCTGACCTTCCTGTTAGATTTCATCCTTAGTGTTAGGACAGAAGAATAGGAGGTAATACATATTTGATTATGCCTCTTTCCATATTGTTTCGAAAAGGAGTTTAATTATTTCGGAATATAAAAACTCTTCAGGTCGATCACAGTACTAATGATCGACGTTGGGCAAGTGGTAACGCTGAATATGAGAAATGGGAAATGCATTCAGGGACGGATCAAGTCCGTTGATGTGAATAAACGAATTGTACTTGTAGAACGACCCTTTTTGTATGTTTTTTTTTCTCTTTCTCTCTGTCTTTCTCACTATTTATTTTAATTATGAGAAAATCTGTCTCGATGAACATTTTATTGTATTGTATGGAAGTAAGAAATCTAAGATTTTTAGTTTTAAGATTTCAGTAATGAATTTAGAAGCAAGTCTTTCTGCAGAAATGGTAAACCAATGGGTGGACATGAAAGAAAGTTCCCGATTAGTTCGATCCTTTCCTTTCGAATTTTGGATGTTGAAACTGAAACAAGGGACGGAAAGGTGAGATTAAAAGACAGTTTATGAAATTGAGATGAAAATAGAGGGGACCATTTGTGATTATAAAATCCATAAGTAATTCTGTGTATTATGTTCCAAATATTTTTGATAATTCAGTAAACTAAATGGTTTGGTGAATCCGGAACTTAGCCAAGAAAAATGCTTTTGAATTATCACCAGGAGTTGATTAATCACAAAAGTGTTCATAACGTCATCCTTACCTATCCGTTTTTTTACAGGCTCTAGTTAAAGTAATGTGAGGTAAATGCTTTTATATTTCATATGACTTTAAGTGAGTTGCCATTTGGCCATGTTTTTATTAATTTGATTGGATGATATTTCAGTAATTCTTGTTTCTAGCTTTATTTGAAATTTCTTTCTTATTTTAAATGAATCGCATTATTCAGGTCATTACTGAAGGAACCACTGCAGAATCAACGGATATTCTTGATAATGCTGCAACTGTTAAAAGAATTGAAATACGACCAGCTGAACGTTTAGTGAATATTCAAAAACCTCTAACTACATCGCATGTTGCCGGCGACTGCTCATCGATAACAACAGAACATTCAGATGCAGTATATCGAATGGATTTCAAAAAGGAACAAACTGACGCAACTACAATTGTTCATAATAGTGCTGGTATCACTGGTACCGCCACAGTTCCTGCGTTTACTAACGTACAACTCCATGCAAACCAGCAACAGCAGTCGCCTTGTTCTTCTCCTTCTGATTCGTCCTGTTCATCGTCAATAGCCAAATCATTGTAAATTTTTTTCTGGAAGCTGTAGTTATTTTAATCCGAATCGACTGTTTACAATAACTTAATTAACATTGACAGTTAAGGAGAGTTAACTAAATAATATTTGGTCGAAATCTCTTTACCAATTCTTTGCTTGTTTAAGATGTTCATATCAATATTCCTCATTTATTCATTTTTCTAGAGCAAAATTAAGCCGTCCGCGTGGAACTCACATATCAGGTGGGAGTTTTGCTGCAAATTGTGGTGAACCACAATCATATACAGCTGCCCCATCACACAGGGGGAGACGAAGTAAGTATATGTTATGTGTGTGCTTTGATTTTGAAAGCTTTGATTTTGAAAGTATGCTCTGTAAAGCAGTTGTAGATATAAACTAAGGTGCCGTAGACATTATTAGATCATTTAATCCGGTCAGTTTCTCTTTTTTTTCCATATGTTAATGGAGTATTTATTTCAGCAAAGTCAATTTTAGATCATGTGCATAGTAGGATATCCGAATCAAATGCTCTTGGCCAGAATAATCGCGATAAAAAAATAAATGAGGACCTTATCAAACCTATTGATTTTGATTTGAATGAGGACTTCGATTTTGAAAAAAATTTGGAGATTTTCAGAAATTATGTGAGTTGTATTTGTATTCACCTTGATGTGTTTCTTTTTGAATTTCTGTTAAGTTATGATCACGTTATGATCACGTTAAGTTATGATCACGGACAGTTGCTCATTTATGTGATTCGGGAAAGCAGGTCGCTTAATTATTCTTTGGATTGGAAATTAATCTTTTTCAAACTATCCTCTGTTGGAATTAAAAATTTTCGGACTGTTTAATTTTCTTGTCTAGGATATCAATCGATTCATCAATAAAATGTAATATATAGGAAAAAAATGCGGATATTTCCGAGCAGAAGGAAATTTCAACTCTGGGGAGTCAGTTTGCACAAAAGAATTACGAGCATTTCGAAAATGTCATTTCGGATCCATCGAGGGTTACGTCATGGATAACAAAGACACATGATCAATTTATCGCAGTACGCTTTGAAAAAACAATAGATGGGCAACGGATTCCATTTCTAAAACCCTGTGATAAAGAAAAGTTTTTACAGGTCACTTTTATTAGACGTCATTTGGTTTGGTCATCTATTTAATCAACTGTAGATAATCGCTTTAACTTCATTTCTTTCCTCAACGCAGTTGTTTCAGAGAGCGGAACCTTATTTGGGAAGTGATATATTCCATGTAATGATCGCTGATCGTTTAATGATGTTTATTTGGAACATTATTGATAGGTAAGTTTCCTTTTTATTTTTTGAACTTTGTGGTATTTTAATACGCACACATTACAATATAAGTTAGATTTATATCGAGTCTATAGTTCCATCAGCAGTACTGTCACTCTCTAATGATTTGTAGTTTATGCTTCTGACTTGATATCTTATTGCACTATAGTGCAGTGCCCTGAAAAATAGTATTTTTTTGTGTTTAATTGTACTGTTTAAACCATTAGGAGAAAAACGTAATATAAAGAAAAAGGAAGAAATTTCCATATAAGTAAACCTTTCCCTTTGGTTTAGCAAGCGATGCGGATTTTGACGTACTACAGAAATTTTGGAATTCCTAAAAACAGTTACAAATACCAAAATCTTAAAGTCAAAACTGTGAAAAGTATCTCAACAAATAATTATAACTTGAAACGATTTCTGGACGACTGATTTTCTTTGTATACGGAATTTCACAAATTCTAGGTTTGAAATAATGGTTAATCAGTTGGTTGTGTTGGATTCAGCAGCGGTTAATACTTTCTTGACAACGATGTTTTTGCGCCACATCTCAAACAGAGCATGTCAAACAGTTGTATATTCATGCTTACTTGGCCAGTACAATTTACCACACGTACTTCAAGTTCATAATGTACAAGAGCTTCCGAAGCACGATGTTCAGGCAATTGTTTTGTTATCATTTTTGTCAATTTTATAAAATGCCTTAGGTCCCATTGTGAAATTGAACTTATTTTGTTGGTAAAATGAACTTGAGCTACCTTACATTACTGATGTTTTCAAGGAATTTGAGATAATTTTCATTTTTCAAATTAGCATCCATTGGTGCTTGTGCAGTTGAATTAAGTTGGCTTCTAAATTATGTAATCTTAATTGTAATTTCATTAAGTTTAGGTAAGAAAATTCTATCATC